CTTTATTTGATTGCAATAGACTACAAAAGAATACTCAATCATTAAGAAATGAAGTAGATAACCACGAACCTTGGATTAACCAAATACGTTCAAATGGGCAGAAATTAATTGAAGAAGGACATGAAGATGCTGATAAATTTGTTGAAAAATTGAAAGAATTGGATAATACTTGGGAAGGATTAAAAAATGTTATTGAAGAAAGAAAACAAAGATTAAAAGATGCTGAACGTGCTCATCAATATCTTTATGATTGTGCTGAAGCTGAAGCTTGGATGAGTGAACAGGAACTGTATATGATGCAAGATGAGAGAGGGTTAGTAGATAAAGACAGTTCCTTTCTAATCAAAAATTTCTTTTAGAAAAGACGAATTCAGTACTCAAAACCAAATAAAACGCCATGAACGTCTTCAACAAGAAATTGGTCAATTTGCCACAATAATTAAAGAATTAGCTTCTCGCGCCAAAAATTTAATTGACGAAGAAAGTCCCCTCAGTGAACAAATTCAATTAAGGCAATCACAAATTGAAAAATTATATGCTGGTTTACAAGATTTAAGTAAAGAGAGGCGCAAAAGATTAGATGAAACTCTTCAACTTTATGATTTACATAGAGAAATTGATGATCTTTTGCAATGGATTGCTGATAAAGAGGCAAAATTTTTATAAATTTATTAAATATAAAAATAACTGAGCAATTCCTATCTTCTAAAGAGGTTTAACATTAAATTTAATGTTAGATTCCGCGTTCTCAATGAGGAATTCCCCAAGAATCCTAATGAATTTTTTCTATAATTTCTTGTCTTTAATATACGAGTTCCCTACAACTTTAGGTTTTATTCTTTTTTTCCAGAACAGTCAAAGCTCTTTCCTTTTCCTTTCAAATCCCTCACAAACAACCACCCTATATTAAATATTTTTCTCTCTAAAGGTTGTTGCCGGCTCTTCAGAAAGTGGCCAAGATTATGAACATGTCCAAATGCTTTTGGAACGATTTTTACAATTTGCACGAGATACAGAATTTATTGGGACAGAAAGAGTTGCAAAAGCAAATGAACGTTGTGATAGATTAATTGCTATTGGACATACAGATGCACCTACAATAGCTTTGTGGAAAGATTCTTTAAACGAAGCATGGGAAAACCTTCAAGAATTAATAGATACAAGAACACAAGCTTTGGAAGCTAGTAGACAAATGCATAAATTCCATTATGATTGTCGTGACTGTTTGGCACGTATTTTAAGTAAAACACATGCTCTACCTGATGAATTGGGACGGGATGCAAGTTCTGTTGGAGCATTGACGAGGAAGCACCAGGTGAAATACAAAGGAATATTTCTGAAAATGTTACTTATACTATTGTTTTCAAGGCATTCCTCAAAGACATAGAAGCAATCGGTGCCCATGTCCAACAGATCGAAGGAGATGCTCGCCGTCTTCGTGATGCTTATGCAGGTCAAAGATCAACAGAAATAGCTGAGATGGAATATGAAATATTAAAAGCTTGGCATCGACTAAATGAGGCTTGTAAAGGACGAATGGGAAGATTAAACGATACAAGTGATCTATTCCGATTTTTGAATATGGTTAGGGATTTACTTCTCTGGATTGAGGAGGTTAAGAGAGAGATGCTTTCACATGAGAGGCCTAAAGATGTTTCCGGTGTTGAACTTTTGATGGTGAGAGAGTTGTTAATGTTATAAAATTATTTTAAAAATATAAATTTTTTAAAGAATAACCACCAATCATTGAAAGCTGAAATTGATACTCGTGAAGAAAGTTTTCGTGAATGCATGGCTTTAGGTCGTCAATTACTCGAACGTAATCACTACGCATCTGCTGAAATTGAGAAAAAATTGGTTAAGTTAACAACGGACAGAGCAGATATGATGCATCGTTGGGAAGATCGTTGGGAATATTTGAGGCTAAGTGAGTGGAGTTTTTTGGATTTATATGGAACGAGGGCTCCCCTTCTGTTACCAATTTGCAGAGGCTTTTTTAGGAAATATTTTTAACAAAAAATTTGTCCAAAAGGGCATTTCATTTAAGGGCCATTCTTTCTTTTTGTGATAATTTCTCTCATTTTTCTCTCTCACTTTTAGTTCTCGAGGTTTACCAATTCGCAAGAGATGCAGCAGTTGCCGAAGCTTGGCTACTCGCCCAAGAACCTTATTTATTATCTCGTAATTATGGCCGTAATTTAGAAGAAGTTGTAGCTTTAATTAAAAAACATGAAGCTTTCGAAAAGAGTGCTTCAGCACAAGAAGAGAGGTTTATGGCCTTGGAGAAGTTGACAAACTTTGAATTAAAAGAAATGCAAAGAAAAGGTAAAAGGGATTTTTTAAAATCTTTAAAAAAATAAATATTTTTAGAACGTCAAGCAGAGGAGGAACGTCGTCGTCGTGCAGGCAGTACACCCCCAAAACCACGTCCAGGCGAAACTGTTTTCCCTGCATCGCCAACTGGGACAACTTCACGTTCTCATGAAGGTAAATAGGGAAATTTTAAATTCAAGAAAAATGTGTTTTTAATTTGTATATGTTTTTGTTGTGGTTATTTTTTTTATAGTTTTAGTTTTTAATTAGCAATATTTAATTGTTAAGAATTAGAATTTTTTAGAGCTTATTTTGTTAGTTCTTTTTATATTTTTTTGTAAAATTTTGTGTTGTGCTTTTATAGAATTAGCTGCTCAAAGACGTGTATCTCACCGTTTAGGAGGACTCTACCCCGGCACTTCTTTTGCTGAACCTTCAAGTTGGAGAATGTCAATAAGTAGACAACCACGATTTGAGGGGCATGATCAAAGGGGTAATAACAATAATTTTTTGTTTTTTGGTTTGTATTGTTAATTAATTTTAATTTTTGCTTTTTTTGACAGTTAAAAAGTTTATTCCTTCACTATAAAATATTTTTTAGGTATAGCAACAGCTTCAGACACATTTGAAGGAACGTTAATTCGGAAACATAATTTTGAAGGATTTGAAAGGAAAGCATCACATCGGTGGGTAGAGAAACGGAGATTTTTTCTCTTTCTTAATAAAAAAATAAGATCCCTAAATTCTCTTGTTTCAGTACTTGGGAGAAGCTTTACGCCGTTCTCTATAACGGTGATCTATATTTCTTCAAAGATGCTCGGCATCGTCAAGAACAGCCAGGCCAAACATTTAGAAATGAAGCGCCTCTTCAATTAGCTGGTTGTGCCGTACAACCTGTAGAACATCCAAAAAGAAGGCATTGTCTTTCGTTAAAATGGCCGTTTGGATCAGAATATTTATTGCAATGTGCTGATGAGGTGAATTAAATAGAAGTAGTTTATCTTTTCTTTCCCCTTTTTTAGGAAGATCAACAACGTTGGTTACAACAATTAAATTCTGCAGCAGCTAGAATAGGTTCTCAACCTCCCCAACAACAACAACAAAGCACCGCCACCACTTCACATCCACAAATGGTGATCTCCTCCTCGGAATCTGGTGATGGAATTTCTGCGCCAGTTGAAAGTGCTCAACCACAACAACAGCAAAAAGAAACCACAAAGAAAAGAGGATTCTTTTCGAGGAGTAAAAAATAATTTAAAAAGAAGAGGAGAATTAAAGGGAAAGAAGAATGGAAAGAAGGTGAGAATGGCCAAATCTATTAGAAAAATATCCCTTTATGTTCCAGAGGATTTTGGAGAATTCCCATTTCCATTCTCGCCTTCCCTTCAATTCTCTTATAAAAACTTTTTAAAATTCTCCCAAAATTTGCAATTGATTTTTTAATATTCACCGGCACTGCCTCCACATTCTTTTGTTAAATTAAAAATTTTAAATAATTTTTAAAAATCCCCAGAGAGTTTTCTTTTTTAACTTTTGCTAGAATATTATTAATCTTTTTTTGTGCTTCTTTACCTAAATTTTTTACTAATAATTTAATTTTCTCTTTATTTCATTTTTCTTTTTTCCGTCCATTTAATTTTGTTTGTTTTGCTGTATTTATGCTTGTTTATTTTTAAATTACATAGCTAAAACCTTTTTTTATTGTTAGACATGTTAAAGTTTAAATTTACGATATTTTACTTGATTATTAGCTAAATTATAATATTTATATTTAGAATATTCATTTCTTTATTCATTGGTTATGAAATTCTGATTTTCAAAAATTTTTAATTTCCACAAGAATAAAAAAATGTCATTCGGAAAGAAACAAAAAACCCAAAAAAATAAATTTCATTCTTAAGGATCCCTTTAAATTTTAAATTAAGGAGGATGTCTCTGACCATCTCTAATTCTGTGATCTTTCTAACTTGGAGGGTCCCAAATAATTTTTCATCTTTTTTCGTGAGCTTCTTCCCGCAACCTTTTAAAAATATCCCTTCTTTATCCACAACCAATGAATTATCTGAAATTCTATTTTATCATTTTCTGCCTCACATATGTAGTATTCCCTTTTTATTTTTTGTTTTCTAAGCCACAGCAATTTGAGTTTATTTTAATTTTATTTAGAAAAATTTTAATCTGTTTTCTCAATAAAAACTGCTAATAAATTAAACTGCAAAAAAGTCTTTGCTTTTCCTGCCCAAACATTTTTTTGTAGAAGGCTTTGCTTTTTTTATTATTTTAGTTATATCTTCTCAAAAACATAAATATATAAATTATCTTTTTTCAACCTTTCTTACCCTTTTCTACGAAATAAAATGTTTCTAAAATTGGAGATGTAGGGCAAAGAACCAACCTTTAAAATATTAAGAAAAAAGAATAATAAACAATGAGGGAACATCAACTAAAAGTACGTTTTGAAAAAAGATGAGACACTAGACATGTGTTTCCCACATTTTTATGCAAAAGTTAATTTTTTTGATTGATAAAATGCCTAAATCTTAGGGATAAATTCGGGAGGAGTGAATTTATGGTAATTTAACGTCCCTATAAGATGAGACATTTAAAAAATAATTTTCTTACAATAAAAAATTAATATGTAGTTTATTTGTAAAAACTTGTAATTTTAAAATATGTATTTAACATTCTCAAAAGTAACAAGGATTATCTAACTTTTCAACAATAGCTTCCATAAATCGAGGAATCAAATCTGAATAATTGTTTTTAATTTCCTCCCATTCCTTGCTCTTCAAAAAGCTCTTCCCATTGACGCGAATATAATCTATACAAGCCTGTAAAATTAGGGATTTAGAATTTTATTTAGTATTGTTATTAAAAATTGTAGTCGAAGACTCTAACACACTGACCTCCGGGACCGAATTAAACCGATTTGTTAGAAAAGATTACCTTCTCCAAAGTTGGAGCACCATATAAATTAATAGTCCCACAATATTTAACAATATTTTCCATATCTAAAATAAAATATTTGAAGTCTCTTTTTATCTTAAAAATTTTTTTTACTAATATTGCAAGACATAAAACGTTCACACAAATATTTCAACATTTCTACTTCGTATTTATGGGCAATAGCAAAAATACCATCAACATGACTCTTCATTTTATCTTAAAATTAAAGATAAATTAATTAAAACAAGTATTTTATTTAAACCATCAGAAACCATTCCAGTATAGAAAAACTCCAACATTGCACGAACACATTCTGGTGTTGTATCAGTAAGAATAACTTCACCCTAAATTTATTTGAATTATTTCATAATTAGTGAACAATCTCTATTTGAGAATCCGAGTAAGATGGGTGAGCTTTTTTCCTAAAAATGAGCTTCTCCTTATAGTTATTTGATTTTAGGGTCCATATTCTATACCAAAAAATAATCTACATAAATGTTTATATTTGTAATCATAATCATATCATTTTTCTATGTTGAAAAGCATCCATAATCAATTCAATTCAATTTATACGTATAAAAACGTGACATTCAGATAAAATAAAGTAAAGTAAACGTGACAATAATTTAAATTTAAATCGCTAAGGGTCTGGAGACATTTGAATGGAATGTGGCTATGATAAAATATTGTTTATGTTAAAATTGTTTAGGAGCTTTGGAAACAATTCGATTGACGATTTTTGTAATTCTGTTGGAAGTTTTCTGTAAATGTTTGGTATGTCTATAAAAAATGAGTTTTTCCGAATGGTGCTTGAACAAAAGGGGATAAATAGGTTATGTGGATTACCTCTAGTAGTGGTAGGGAGAATGCTATATGTATTATCGTGTTTTAGATTAATTTTACCTAAAATGATATTATGGAAAAGGATAAGATTAGATTTTAGACGTCTATGCGATAGAGATTCAAGTTTAAATAGGTCTAGGAGTTCTTTATAATTAGGTAAGGTTGGACTGTTGTTATGTTTTATAGAGCGTAAATATATTATTTTTAAAAATTTATGTTGAACATTTTCTAAAGCGTTAATGTCTTTACTTAGATAAGGGTTAATTATAGGAGATCCAAACTCAAGGATAGGTAAGACATATATTTTGAATAAAGTAATTAGGAATTGTGTATTATTAGTTTTAAGGGATCTTATAAGAGTGTAATAAATTCCAGTTGCTTTATTTGTTACAATTTTAATGTGAGAATCCCATTTCAGGTTTGATGTAAAATAGATGCCAAGATCACGAATAGGTTCGTTGTGTGGAATAATTGGTATATTAATGTTTTGTAGAGTATATTGGTGGAAGGGATTTTTAGTTCCTATGTGAAAAGAACTGCATTTGCTGACAGCGATTTTAAGGCCATTTATTTCGCAGTATTTTGAGAATGTTTGGATAAATTTTTGGAGTGGAGAATAGTGATTTTTGTTTAAGAAGTCAAAGCAGGTATAGGCCTTTAAATCGTCAGCAAATAATTTGGGTGTTACATTTTCTGTTTCACAGATATCTATTATATCAAAAATATATGAGATGAATAAAATTGGGCCAAGAATGGATCCTTGAGGAACTCCGCTTGTTATAGGATATTCATTAGAGTTATTAGATTCGACAAGAACAGTAAAAGTTCGATTTAACAGATAATCCTCAATCCAATTTAGTAAAGCGCCAGTGATGCCTAGATGATTGAGTTTTTTCAGAAGGCGATCGTGGGGAACAGTATCAAAAGCTTTTGCCAGGTCGAAGAATATAACGTCAACACATTTCTTATTTTCTATAGCTAATGTATAGTCGTTATAAGTTTCTAGGAGTTGAGTTATAACTGAATGGTTTTTACGGAAACCATGTTGGCAGGTGGGAAGATAATTGTTAGTTTCAAGAAATGAAGTCAATTTATTAGAGATAATCCGTTCTAAAATTTTAGAGGTTGAGCATAAGAGAGAGATAGGTCGAAAATCCTTGGGTTCATTTGGATTATTATTTTTGGGAATTGGTCGGATTATTGACTTTTTCCAAATAGTCGGAATTTTACTTGTCATGATTGACATATTAAATATAATTGTTAATGGAATGGTTAATGAAGTTGCGGTGTTTTTTAAGAAAATGTTGGGAATTCCGTCCGGAGATAGGTTATTAACATTGTCAAGTTTGCTTATAATGTTATAGATTTCCTCTGGATTGATATCAATAAAAGATAAAGTATTTTTGTTAAAAGCTTTTATGTCAGAGGAGTCAAAGTTAGAAGAGTTAAAAACAGATTGGAATTGTTTGGCGAGACATTCGGCTTTATCTTTGGCTGAAATGGTAAATTGATTGTTATTGTTGAAGATTGGGATTTTGGTTTTTTTGGATTTAAGGAAGGCGCCTATATACTGGAATTTAGATCGGGAATCATTGAATTTTGAGATTTCTCTATTTTTAAAGAAACGAGAAATTTCTTTATCGATTTTCTGTTGAGTGAAAATGTATTTTTCACGGGTAGTAGGTTTATTAATATTTTTCCATAAAAGGTTTTTATATGAGATCATTTTTTGAATATGTTTAGGGAATTTAGCAATATCTTTATTGATCATTTTTAGTGGTATGAAATTTTGGATAATTTGATGAATGATTTCTAAAAATAGGGTATATTGAGAATCTACATTGGTACAATTTATAAACAAAGTATTCCAGTTTAAACCGATTAGAATATTGTTAATTTGATTGTAATCGGCATTGTGGAAGTCATGAATGAATTCTGGTTCTTTTGGAAAACAATTGAAATTTAAGTTAAATTCAATGGTGTTATGGTCAGAATTTTTGAATGGGGCATTAATGGTAATATTTTTGGCAACGCGAGAGGTGGAAGAGGAGAAAAGTAGATCAAGATAATTACTTTGTCTCGTTGGAGAAGAGATTTCTTGAAATAGATTACAGTTTTCTACGAAATCAATAAATAATTTTTCAGACGGTGATTTATGATTGAGAGCTTGCGGTATATTATCCTCCCAGATTAGATTGGGGAAATTAAAATCACCTACAATTATGTAGTTATGATTAATAGATATTAGGTAACTTAAGATCTCAAGAAGTTCCTGGAAGTCATTTAAATTTTCGTTTGTTGTAGGGCGGTAAACTGTTATTATTCTAAATTTGTCAAATTTTGGGGAATAAATGTCTATAGCTACAACATCGGAATTTTTATTTTTAGGAATTTTAACGGGAGAAAAAGGAACTATATTATCTACTAAAATACATGCACCGCCGCCCCTAGAACCTCTATCGCATCTAACGATGGAATAAGATGTACTATGTAAAATTTGGGAATTATCGATTTTTTTGTTCAACCACGATTCGGAAACACAAATTATTTTAAAGGATTTAGAAATTAAAAGTAATCTTAAGGCATCTAATTTGTTAACTAAGCTCCGGCTATTAAAATAAAGACATTTATAAAAAGGGGATTTATTTAAAAAATTTTTTAAAACCTTGAATCTTGGACGACCACTTAGTGGTTTTTTGTTCTTTCAGTCACATTGGCACTCATTCTTTTATTGTATTCATCTCGCTTCTTAGTACGTTCAATTTTCTCAGTTTCCAATTGTTCACGAGTAAGACTTGGCCTAATCAATAAACGAGACCATTTAGCTTCTTTTTTCATTTCCACTCTGTGACGTTTCCATTCAGCAAGTGTAATTCGCTGAAACTTTGAAGCACCAAAAACAATTTTAAGTAAACGACAACCTTTAGCAGTTGGGTCATACTTACCCATTCTGTATGAAACGAATGGGCTCTCAACCCCCAACAAGTTGAGTACATCTTCGATTGCGGCTTTATCTTCGACAACACGAATTGATGGTGTTGTTGATTTAGATTCTTGTAGACCAATAACAACAATTGAACGGTTACGCTCTTGTTCGCTTGCTGATGACTCATTGTTTTTAAAATTAGTTTCAATTGTTGTTTCAATTGTTTGAATTTTTGATTCAATTGTTGTTAAAGCATTTTTAATTTGAAGAATTTCATTAGAAAAAGACGAAAATTTTGTGTTGTTATTATCGATTTTTAATTCTAAAGCAGCCAATTTTTCCATTATTTGTTGTAATTCAGTTTTTGTGGGTGCCATTACGGCGTATTGATTTTTTATCTTAAACTTGGGTAATTAAACTGTTTTTAAACTTATTTCTTACTGTTTTTAAACTTATTTCTGTACGTATAAGTTTAAAACTTACATTTTGTGCTTCAATCATGCCATTCTGTTCAAACATTTTGTGAAACACTTTACTATTCTTTGCCAAAATACAGGGTGTTTCAACTAAGAAGCACTATTTGAAAAATTAATAACTTTTTAGTGCGTGGACAGATTTTTATAATTTTTGGTATTTTATATCTATAATTTATAAGGTTTTTTTTGATATAAAAATTATGTCGAAATTCGAACCCTAACCCTTTATTTCAAATCCGTACTCTACAGTTCTCTTTTTTCCCTCTTTTCATTGTGTGCTATCTTACTTCATTTATTTTCCTGCGTATGGCGAAGAGTGGATACTGTATTGAAAATGTAGTGTCTATCGCCTAGTGTTTACTCTAATGTCTATCACCCCTTGTAAAAAACAAAAGGGAGTAAGAAAGCATGTGCGGAAAAAGGGAAAAACAGAACGGTAGAGTACAAAATTATCTCGGGTTAGGGTTCGAATTTCGACATAATTTTTATGTCAAAAAAAACCTTATAAATTATATATATTAAATACCAAAAATTATAAAAATCTGTCCACGCACTAAAAAGTTATTAATTTTTCAAATAGTGCTTCTTAGTTGAAACACCCTGTACATCTATGTGTTTTTATAACTTCATCACCAATCTGGAAAAGTTTATAAAAAAAGTCATTGTTTTTTTCGTTTTAGATTTTTATAAAAATCGATTTATTTTTAACAAAAAATTGGAAATTTTCGGTTTCAAAACATGCCCGTATTCATCATAAACCTTAAAAACACAATCAGTAAATAATTCATCATTCAGCATGTCTACATAAGTATTTTGTAAATTATCATTTGAATTATAACAGTCAATTTCAACCTTGCAACAAATATTTAAATTTCCTAAAAATTTTCATTTATAAAAGTGAATAGGTTTTTCTTTGGAATGATTCTTATTCTAAGCTCCAGCTTTGATAATATGTATGTTATGTTTAGTCTTGCGAATTTGCTTTTTGGGGAGCGTATGTGTAGCCCCGAGAAAAATTCATTTATTTTTTCAAAAATATAGGCAAAATTCCATAAAATTTCAGAAAATTGCAAAATTACAAAATCGCCGTCATTAGGGGTGCATCTTTATTTCGTTTCGCCCGAAAATTTATTTTATTTCGCTCCGAAACGAAATGGAAAAAGGGCACAAAAGAGCGAAACAGAACGAAATTTCTTCCAAAATAAACTTTCAATGCAACACTATTAGCACAAAATGCTGAATTTCCTCTTATAAATCTTATTGTTAAAACGGGAGCAGGCCAATGTACCGCAGCCAATGTACCGCAGCCCAATGTACCGCCGCAAAAATTTTTTTTATTTTGGCCAACATAACATTTGGAGCAATCCCGGAGAATTGAACCAAATTTCCAAACCTGAACCAAATTTCGAATCCCGAACCGAAACTCGAATCCCGAACAGAATTTCGAATATGAAATTGATAGCTCATTCAAAAGAATGCCTAAAATCAACGTGATTGGACAAGTTTTGTCAGAGTCCCGCGACATTGGAAAAACATCCACCGTCGTTGGAACAACATCTTGGAACAACTCGGAACAACTGCACCGTCGTTGGAACTAGAGTTGGCCGGTATCGGGATCCCGACCTAAAATCGGTATCGGTATTATTGAATGATGATACCGATCCCGATACCGATACCGCCCTCGGGATCGGTATTGGCCAAAACCGGTATCGGGATTTGGGTTAGTGGTACCGATACCGGTACCGATACCGACTTGGGATCGGTATTAAAAATCGGTATCGGGATTTTCTAAAAAAATTTTAATATGGCCAAATATAAATTTTATTCTCAAATTCAAAGATTTTGATAATATTAAAATGATAAATAAACACCACAAGAGAGATTCGTGACAAAAATATCTCAAGAACCAGGAGAAGACCCTCCAAATCTGCTGATATCACTATAATCTAGAGTAGGTCGAGGCCTCGCCGAGGCCAGATTAATAAAATTTCTCAAAAAAATTCTCAAAATTTTCGCTTGCCTCGCTGAAAAAAGGAAGCGATCTCGTGACTGATCTTCTAAATCGCTTGTGGCGCTGGGATTGGCGTGATATTGGCGAGGGATTTGGCGTGAAAAGTAGGATCAAGAGATGCTTTGACCCACTCAAGGCTCTCGATCTCTACTTCCTATCTTTTTAATTCTTGTGCTTTGGGATTAAGTTTAGATCTTTGGAGCGCCGCAGGCGAAACTTTTTAGAATTTTAGAAGGCCACAGGCCAAAAAATTCACTTTTTTAGCGCCGCAGGCGAAAATTTTGAGAATTTTGGAAGTCCTTAAGCCAGATTTCCTCCATTTTCTGCGCCGCAGGCAAAAATTTTGAGAATTTTAGACGGCCATCCGACTAATTTTGTCAATAAAAATTGAGAAATCAATCCTTAGGGGTGTTAAAAAATACCGACGGTATCTGACACTAATCCCGATACCGATACCGGCCTCGGTTTCGGTATTAGCAAAAACGGTATCGGGATTTGTCTTTCGGTGTCGGTATCAAAAAATCGGTATAATACCGCCCGATACCGGTCGGGATCCCGATACCGGCCAACTCTAGTTGGAACCAGGCCCGTAGCCAGGGGGGGTAGGGGGGGGGAATTCCCCCCCCCCCCCCCCGAAATGGGAAAAAGGGAAAAATTTGGGGAAGGGCTGGGGCAAAAAAAGTGAATTTTTTTGGCCTACGGCCTTCGAAATTTTCAAAATTTTCGCCTGCGGCGCTAAAAATGGAAGAAATCTGGCTTCTTGAGCTCCAAAATTCAAAAAATTTTCGCCTGCGGCGCTGAAAATCAAATGTTTGGCGCCTGCGGCGCCGAAAATTTGGCGCAAAAAATTTTTCCCCCCTTTGGCCCCCCCCCCCGAAAAAAATCCTGGCTACGGGCCTGGTTGGAACATCCACCGTTGACCCGCTGTCGTTGGATGCCGGTTGTTGGAACAAAGATTTCCCATGAAGGAACATCATTCCCGTTGTTTGTCTTCTGTTGCTGGAAAAAAATTTTTCGCGGCGGTACATTGGGCTCGCGGTACATTGGGCGGCGGTATCAGGGTGTACCCATTAAAACTTACCGTAATTATTATCAATCAATTTGTTCAATGAACTAGTAGTAAATCCCAATCGTTCTTGATTCTCAAACTTATATGCAGATCTTTAAAATAATAATAAAAAATAACCTAGTTCTAGTCAACTTTTCGAATGTTTTTATTTTCAGGTATTTTTAAAAAATCAAACCTAATTTTTTAGATTTAAGACCGATTATTTTTGCTTAAAATGATAAATTTTCTGAGTTAAGACCGTCGTGGAATTAAAAATTGAAATAATCAAAAACTACCTTGCAATGTCTTCTTGTATAGGACCCTTCTGCGCACAGATTTTATATTTAGTATTCACGAGAGAATTAAAGCTAGTTGGGCCAATTTGGCGAATCCAGATATTAACATCACTATACTCGCCTCGATTTTGGTTGTAGCCTTTAATCAATTCAACATATAATTGCCATTCCACTGATGGAAAGTTTTCATTGTAAAATTTGTCACATAAAGAAAAAATAAATTAATACAAAGAATTTTTAAAGATTACTTGTTAATGTAATTTTTCCTGAAGATATACTCTCCAGTAGCTTTCTAGGATAGATAACAGTCCAATCGATGCTTGAAGTAACGGTATTCATCTAGAAGTTGAGGAGCAAAATTCGATTACAGATTTAAATTGAACTTTAAAGTATGGGGAAATTTTTTAGAATATTTTATTTCAACTGAGAAATAGTATAAAATTAATGTTCCAGCTCTAAATAATATATAATATATGGAAATGGACAGTATTGTATAAGGGAAAGGAGGGGAGCAAAGTTGATGAACAAAATTCGAATATATAAACTAAATACATATAGGTAACTATTTAAAAGATGTTAAAATGGCATAATTTAATGGTCTCTAGGACAGTTGAGGATGGACAATTGGATAGTGGACGATTGGGCAGTGGACATTTGGGGAGTGTATTATAATCAAAAAATAATTTTAAAATAGTATATACTAATTTAGTTCTGCAAAAAATAATTTTTAAGCGAAAAATTCTCACAAAAAAGTTCCTAAATTTTATACAATTTTGTTAAAATATGTAATATTTGCCCAACATCCATTAATATCACACTTTTGTGCCGATTTCTTTATTTATTCATGCATTTGCATGATTTATCCAGTCATGTTTAGTTATAAATTGAGGAAACTAGACTATTTTGGAAGAATATTATTTACATATCCAGCATTTTTGAGCTAAAACTATTTCCAAATTTATATAAACTTTATTTTTTGATAACAAAAATTTCCTTGATTTATTCGTAAAAATTGTAATTTTTAAAATAATATATTTTCCATTTAATTCTTATTTATTTTTAAATTCATCATTAATTGCCTAAATTCTCAACAATATTCTCCAAAAAGCGATAAAAAAGATTTGGATAATTATTTTTAATTTCCTCCCATTCTTTGCTCTTTAAAAAGCTTTTTCCATTGAATCGAATATATTCTGTACAGGCCTGAAAATAATTAGGCTGATTTTTGATAATTAGTAGTGTTATTCACGGTATCGTATTACGGCGATATTTTTCGGTAATACCGCGGTATTTTTACCGAAATACCGATACCGAATACGGTACCGAACAATTTTTAAAAAATCGGTATTTTTTCGGTATCGGTATTTTACCGAAAATACCGATACCGAAAAATCGCGTTTGAATAACACTAATAATTAGTCTAAAGTATGGATCGAGATGTCTGAAAATCGAAAATAGGGGAGGGCCAAATTGATTTTTGGGGTAAAAATGTGAATTAGAAATTACCTTCTCCAAAGTTGGAGCATCATATAAATTAATAATCTCACAACATTTAACCATACTTTCATCATCTAAAAAATATTTGGAATATTTTAAATTTTATATTAAACTTATTACCGATATTAGAACACATAAAACGTTCACATAAACACTTTAACAATTCTACTTGATATTTATGTGAAATAGCAAAAATATCATCAACATGGCTTTGCATTTTATCTTTAAATTAAAAATATTAAAAAATCTTTTATTTCTTAAAAACCATCAGAAACCATTCCAGTATAGAAAAACTCCAACATTGCACGAACACATTCTGGTGTTGTATCAGTAAGAATAACTTCACCCTAAATTTATTTTAAAAGTTTAAGAATCAACGAACAATTAAACATGAGTTATTCCTAACGAAGGTAACAAACTCTCTTTTAGGTGAATGTGGCAGATAGACGCCAAGTTATGACCTTCGAGTTTTAAACTTTGACTTAATTGCCATCTTAGTTAATGAGAAGGGCTCAACGAGCTAACTTATGTAAATAGCTAAAAAAAGAGCCTATTTTTCCACTATGATTATTTTATTTTTATAATTCTCTCTCTATCTTTAGAACAAGAAATCTAAACGTAATCAGAGCACTTTTGCCGTAGGAAACAGAAGTACCGGTAATTTCATTGTCTAATAAACACCTACATTTTGTGCTTCAGTCATGCCATTCTGTTCAAACATTCTGTGAAATACTTTACTATTCTTTGCCAAAATACATTTATGTGTTTTTATAACTTCATCATCAACCTAAAAAATATTTTTTTAGTTTTTGAATAAAACAAATAAAAACTTTAATAACAAAATCAGTTAATATTTCCTCATTTAACATGTCTATATTTGTATAGGGCAAATTATTATTTAAATTATAACAGTCCATTTCAATTTCACAAAAAAGCTTCAGATGCCCTGAAAATTTTAGTTATTATATTTTAATTTTTCTAGCAACATTTGAGGACTAGATATCCACAGATCCTCTACTTTATACATTTACAAATTTTTAAAACTCACCATCAGAACCAACTACTTTATCCAATTTAATTGAAGTCTGTCCCAAACGTTTTTGATTTTCTAACTTGTAGGTAGCAGATCTTTAAAATAATGTTTATTTAATGATTACTTTCATTTTTGAATGGACAGATTTTTGGACTATTTTACCTATTTTATTCTCTAAAATCACTCATTTTCTAAAATTTTCGGTTTTTATCAAGACAGGTTATTTTTTCTGAAAGGGAAAAATCTTCGGTTTAAAGAAATCAGGACCAATTGTTAGGAAAATTTTTAAAAATTTAACAAGCATACTTTGCAATATCTACTTGTATAAAATCCTTCTTGGCATAAATCTTATATTTAATATTCACGAGAGAGTTCAAACTTATTGGCCCAATTTGTCTAATCCAAACGCTAACATCATATCGAGCTAAATACAAACATAATTCCCATTCCACTGACGGAAATTCCGGATTAGAAAATTTGTCACATGAAAAAAATGAATGATAAATTTGTAAAAAAATTAAAAGAATACTTATTAACGTAATTTTGCCAGAGGAAGGAAGAGATTCGAGAATTTTCTTAGGACTACAAACAGTCCAATCGTTTGTAAAAGTAATGGTGTTCATCTAAAAGAAATTTTTAAATTGAATTTATTAAATATATTTTTAGAATATTTAAGTTAAAAGAAACTCTAAAAGTATGGGAAAAGGAAGGGATTGAAGAATATTAAGTTGTGTAATGGAAATATTAAATTTAAGGGGACAATTTAAATGTCATAATAAAGCAGGGAATCGAGATGAAAAGTTAAACGACGAAAAGTTTAATTTAAAAGGAAATTAGGAAGAGCAACGTTTTGGATGATATAGTACATATGAGCTAGGAGATAAAAAGTTAAAATATAAACGAAGGTTCTTATATGAATTATTATTTCTTTATTGTTTGAGTTTTGTAACTTGTTAAGGAATTAATTATTTTCATTTCGCCAACATTTTAAAATTTTAAAATTTTTAAATTTCAAAATTTTTAAACTTTTTATTTTACAGTCCTTAATGAAATTTCTAAAATCCTTATTTCACAAAATATTTGAAAATATCTTTATTCATTCAACAAACACTAACTATTATAAATGTTAAAATACCGGGGGATATCTTGCAGTCAAAGTTATTGTTTTAAATTCAAACTAACAAATTATTTTTAAAGTTCATAACTAAGATAAAAATATTTGAATTTATTAGTAGCTTATAACAACAATTTTGACTGGAATGTGTAATATACAAATAAATATATTCTTTAATTGTTTAATCACAAATAATTTTTATCTACTCAGGAATACTTTTTAAATGATCGGGCGCTCTAATTAACCATTCAGGCCACGCCCCAAAATACAAGGAGGCAGTGAAATTTGTTCTTTGCAAAGCTGCCCAAACCGAAGCAGCTCGAAGTGAAGAAAGTTCATCATAGACAACTACAGGTCTTTTAGTTGTTAATCCGAGACGGGCAAATAAGCGGGAATGGGCATTTGAAGAAGCCCAACGGCGTTGATTTCTGATTGGTGTTGATAAAAATAATCGTTCAACGGGGATATTCATAGCTGTTCTAATGTGTCCATAAATAGCTATTGGAGAGGTAGAAATGGAAGAAGAGGAGGAGGATGAAGAAAAGGAAGATTTACTTCCTCCAACGATGTGACCATCGAATTCCTTAAAAAATATTGTTATATAAAAAATGTTAATTTTTTGGGAAGGATTTTTAAAAATTTAATAGTTACACAATCCTTTTAATTCAATTTCTTATAGAATCTCGATAATTATTAAAATTGTTCAGAATTTAAAAAATAAACCAAGAATTGAAAACCCGGTAAAATATGATTTTTCTGTGATAATTCTTTTGTGAAATTTTCTTATAATAATTCTGAAAACAACACAGACTTAAAAAATACTAGATAATTTTTTAATGTAAGGATTTTCTGTCCAAAGATTTGGAGGCATCTTAAATAGCAATGAAAAATAAATTTACTTCAGGTTTTTGGGCATCAACAATATCAACTTTAGCAGAAACATCCCCCTCATCTGTTGGTTCGAAAGATGCCAACAAATCATCAAAAGTAACAACCAAATCTTGTATCCAACCAGCTTTAAAATCCCCTCCATTTGACATTAATAATTTTTCTTCAATTTTGGAATTATTTAATAAATTATTTGTATTATTTTTATTTGTTAAAAAGGAATGCCAAGCACTTGCACCTCCATTTAAGAAAAATGTTGTGTTGTGACCGTAAAGCTGAAGAAAAATAATAAATAGTTTTCAAATTACAAAAACTTTAAATTTTAAGTGAGTATGAAGTATGGACGGCCCACTAATATCTGAGGATTAACGAACGTAAAGGTACCTTACAAAAAATCTTAAAAATCAACGATAATTTATTTGTTAACTATAGAACATTCTTTAGGATATAAACAATTAATTTGTATATATAAAATATAAATTACTCTAAAAATCCACAAAGCATATGTTGAAAACAATCCAAGAAGATGTCTGTCATAAAGAACAACAATTGAATTTGAATCAACTGAATGCGAACGTAAAAGCCGTTGAAATTGTAATGGATGGACAGGAACACCATTATGAGAAAGTGATTCTATTGTTATGTGTCGAGAGCCAGGAAGTTGGGAAAAATTACTGAAAAAGTTAAAATTAAGTATTTAAATATTTAACTATGTAATTATCTATACAGATGCAATTCTATAGAAAATTTTCAAAATTAATTTAAAAATTAATTAATAAAAGAGGATTAAAGTTAGAGTTAGACACGCAAATAAAGTCAAGTTATTTGTCAATTATTATTTATTTTTGGTTGTCTCAAAGAGAAGGTTTTCGAATCTCATAAGGCGCTTCTTTGAGCCTAGGTTCTCGGGAACGAATAATTTATAAATTTTTCTTTAATTCTGATTGTAATGTATTTCCGATATTTTTATTAAAAGATAGATTGTAAGTATAAAAGCCTAAAACATTTAATTATTACAAAAAAATCTTCATAAATCGCCATCAAAACAAACGACCACCCCCATTTGTGCTACGAGGTTGCTGCCAGAATGAAGTTTTCCATCTACAACTTCAACGGATCTAAGAAGAAGAAAGCTGTGTGCTTCAACATGATGGCTCTCTCGATTGCTGTTCTCGTGTTGGTTGGACAAGTTAACACTATAGGAGCGGGGAATGTTGGTCTGGGGAATCACATTTTGAAGGAAGGAAAGGTGAATCTTGCTACAGGCTCAACTGTCGTTGCCACCAATGAAGACATTGAACAATACAAGGCTAAGTTTCCTGATGCTTGCAATGTTGACTTTGATAGCGAAGGAAATATGTGAGTTAATTTGGTTAGTTAGATATATGTAAGTATTTTTCTTATTTTTAAGTGTTCTTCACTACAAAAGTCAAGGTGCGACAAAGGACAAAGGCTGTACGGTGGATCTTCTAACAAATATAAGGAATAAGATTCTTTTCACAGCCGGGTTGATTGTGACAAAGGACATTGGTACTTGCTTGACCTGGAATTTTAATGAGAACACGTTAGTTTACGAAAACTTATACCGAAAAGTTTTTAACTTAGAATTAAAAAAGATGTCTAAAAATATTTAAAAATTAGGTTTATGGCTACCCTGACAAGAATGAGGAAATATTTCAGAATTTATTATTTCAGATTGCCTTTTGCCTACAGCTTGCTAAATGAAGAAATCAGACAATTCCACAATGGTCCGATTTTCAGTAAGGATGGCGGATGTTGTGCAGGCACTTGTATGAAACGAACGGGCCTTGAAGTTTCATGGTGGCTATATGAAGATAGGCAAAGATTTGACATCGTGCTAAATGCAAATCCAAGTAATAAATCTCCTTTAGATTGATTTTTATTTCTAAATTCAATTTTAGTTGGTATGGGACTAATCAACCAAACCGGTCAAGCTAAATCAACAGTGGAAAAGAAAAAAGAGTACCCGACAGTTGAGATATCGGATCAACCTCCAAGATATCAGATCAACTTTCCGGGGATACCTATTGCGACTACCAGAGGTTCTTGCATTGAAAACATCCTGCTCTCGCCTATCACATGGGAAATCGACGGTAAAAGTCCAGATCCAAAAATGAATCGCTTGTTGGTTTTTCATCTTCTCCCTCAACGTGCATCGCGAATAAGAGAATGGATTGGTGATAAATATAAAATAAAAGGAAATCCGCCGCAAGGACCCAAATGTGATGACCTAACTATCAAATTCGTAAGTGATAAACAAATTAACTACTCATTATTAATTTATTTTAACAAATTTAGTCGAAGAGCAACTACAAATTGCTTAATGTTCTTTCTTCTCCTGATATAACAAAGCCACCAACAAACGTTGAAACAAAACCTCCAGGTACCAGCAATGATCCAACAAACAATAATCAGATCTCAACAACTTCAGCAAACAACGAAAATAATTCAACAACATCGACGCCTGAGGATAAGTTGGTAAACACGACAACTACCGGTCAATTTACAGAAACGGGTGAATTGGGAAGTTCAACAGCTCCCGCTTCAAAAGGCTCTTCTTCATCTACGTCTGCAAGTACAAAAACTACACCAGTAATAACAACGATGACAACCACCACCAAAAGCTCCTCTTCGATCGGCGTGATAATTGTTGCGATTGGCGTTATTTTGATCATTGTCATTGGAGTTTCTGTCTACTTCTTTGTCATAAGGAAGAAGCCTGACAAGACGGGAAAAGATGTTGAGGGAGGTAATGAGGCAAAAGGAGATGGTGAAGAAGAGGGTGATAAGAAGGAAGATGGCAAAGAGAAAGAAGAAGAGAAGGATGAGGGTGATAAGTCTAAAGACGAAGAAGAAGACGGGGACAAATCAAATGAAGACGATGAGGAAGGTGACAAGAAGAAAGTAAAGGGTTCGGAGTCAAAAACGGAAGGCGAAACCAAAGAAGAAGAACAGACGGGTGCAAAACCGGGTGATGCTGAAGCGAAGGAAGAAGGCGAAACAAATGAAGTCGAAAGTTTGTCGCCAGAAGAAAAGAAGATTGAGGATGAGATATATAAAGTGTGATATATGGATATACAAATAATGCTCTTGATATATATAATTGTTTGTTTGTGAATATTTGCCTATATATAATTGTATTGAGTACCTATTTTTTGTTACCTAGATTTAAATATCTTAATTATTCTCATCTCTTAAATGTGTATGCTAGTAATGTTCCTTAATGTCTATAATATCCGAATGTCTTATATGTCTATGCCCATTTGTAATTGTAGATAAATATTTGCTTTATCACAATTGAAGTAATACAAATTTTTTGATTTAAAGCCTTATTTATAGAACAAACTTAAAAAATGATTTCAAGTTTATTTAAAAACCTAAATTTACTAAAATTTGAGAAAGCAGGGAAATTCTAGGTAGTTAGTACTAGAGCATCTTTGATCACTAGATAAATGACGAAATATGAAAAAATATGGAAAATATGAAAATGAAGTCCATAGATTTAAAACAACCAATGCGGAAAGTGTTTTTCGTTCTTTTCAGATTCAGGCAATTCAGGAAAAAATTCACTATTCCTATTAAAAACTGTACTATAAAAGCCTAAATGACCCGTGATTATTAAAAAATCTTCATAAATCGCCATCAAAACAACCGACACCCATTTGTGCTACGAGGCTGCTGCCAGAATGAAGTTTTCCATCTACAACGGCAAGAAGAAGCAAATCATGTTCGTCAAAATCTTGGCTCTCTCGATTGTTGTTCTCGTGTTGGTTGGACAAGTTGACACTACAGGAGCGAAGAATGTTGGTTTGGGGAATCACATTTTGAAGGAAGGAAAGGTGAATCTTGCTGCGGGCTCAACTGTCGTGGCCACTAAAGAAGACATTGAACAATATAAAGCTAAGTTTCCTGATGCTTGCGATGTTGATTTTGACAGCGAAGGGAATATGTGAGTTAATTTGGTTAGTTAAATATAAGTATTTTTTCCTATTTTTAAGTGTTCTTCACTACAAAAGTCAAGGTGCGACAAAGGACAAAGGCTGTACGGTGGATCTTCTAACAAAATTGAAGAATGAAATTGTTTTCAACGCCAGCTTGAGCCATTCTACGGAACTTGATAAATGTCTGATTGATCATAATGAGAACACGTTAGTTTATGTAAAAGGGGTAGCTTGAAAATTTTCAACTGAAAATTAGAAAAATATATTTTACAAATCATTAAAATTATATGGAACAGAGTCAGGAAATATTTTATTTCAGAATTTATTATTTTAGATTGCCTTTTGCCTACAGCTTGCTAAACGAAGAAATCAGTCAATTCCATGATGGCCCGATTGTCAATATGAGTAGCAACTGTTGTGGTAGTCCTTGTGTCGAAAGAACGGGCCTTGAACTCTCATGGTGGTTAAATAGAAATAAGAAAGAAAGAGAGCTTGTGTTAGATGCAAATCCAAGTAATAAATCTCTTTAGTATAATTCTTATTTCTAAATTCAATTTTAGTTGGTGTGGGAAAAATGAACGAAACTTCTCAAGAAATGAAAAGGGTGGAAGAGCAAAAAGAGTACCCGACAGTTGTGATATCATCTGAATCTCCAAGATTTAAGATTCACTTTCCGGTGGAGAAAGAGAAAAAGTCTTACGGTAATTCTTGCGTTGGAATAGAGTGGGAGAAATTCATCAATGAGAAAATTCTCACGCCTATCACATGGGAAATCGACAGTACAAGTCCAGATCCAACAAAGAATCGTTTATTGGTTTTTCATCTTCTCCCTCAACGTGCATCGAGAAATAGAAAGTGGTTGAACGAATCAATGGGATTTGAAGTAGGAGGAAATCTGCCGCAAGAACGCAAGTGTGATGACTTAACCATCAAATTCGTAAGTGATAAATAAATGAACTATTTATTGTTAATTCATTTCAACAAATTTAGTCGAAGAGCAACTACACATTGCTGACTGGTTCTTCTCATGATATAACAAAGCCACCAGATGAATTGCAGCCTACAGGTACCAGTAATGATCCATCAAATAATAATCAAATCTCATAACTTTAGCAAACGACGAAAATAATTCAACAACATCGACGCCTAAGGATTATTTGGTAAACATGACGACAACTACCGGTCAAGTTACAAAAACGGGTGAATTAAAAACTTCAACAGCTCCCGCTTCAAAAGGCTCAACAACGGCAAGTACAATAACAACAACCACCAAAAGCTCCTCTACAATCGTCGTGATAGTTGTGATTGCTGTTATTCTGATCATCATTGTCATTGGAGTTTCTGTCTACTTTTTTGTCATAAGGAAGAAGCCTGATAAGAAGGCAAAAGATCCTGAGGGAGGTGATGAGTCAAAAGGAGATGCTGAAGAAGAGGGTGATAAGAAGGAAGAAGATGGTAGAGGGAAAGAAGAGGATGAGGGTGATAAGTCTAAAGACGACGAGGAAGACGGTGATAAGTCTAAAGAAGATGAAGAAGAAGATGACAAGAAAGAAGTAAAGGGTTCGGAGTCAAAAACGGAAGGCGAAACCAAAGAAGAAGAACAGACGGGTGCAACATCGGTTGATACTGAAGCGAAGAAAGAAGGCGAAACAAATGAAGTCGAAAGTTTGTCGCCAGAAGAAAAGAAGATTGAGGATGAGATATATAAAGTGTGATATGGATATATGGATATAATGCTCTAGTTTTGTTTGTTTGTGAATATTTGCCTATATATAATTGTATTGAGTACCTATTTTTTGTTACCTAGATTCATCTTAATTATTCTGATCTCTTAAATGCGTATGCTAGTAATGTTAGTTAATGTCTATAATATCTAAATGCCCTATAATGTATTGCCTCTGTGTAATTGTAGATAAGTATTTGCTTTGTCACAAATGAATTAATAAAAATTTTATTGTTGAAGGCCTGCTTTAGGGAACAAACTTAAAACAATGATTTCAAGTTTATTTCAGACTTGAATTTACTAAAAATTGAGAAAGCATGGAAATTTTAGGAATTCAGCAAAATTAGAAAATAGAAATTTCTTCCTGTACTATAAAAGCCTAAATGACTTTTGATCATAAAAAAATCGTTATAAATCGTCATCAAAACAACTGTTCACCCATCTGTGTCGGAAGGCTGCTGCACGAATGAAGTTATTCATCTACAACTACAACGGATCCAAGAAGAAGCAAATCATGTTCGTCAATCTTGTGGCTCTCTCGATTGCTGTTCTCGTTTTGGTTGGACAAATTAACATCGCAGGAGCGAAGAATGTTGGTCTGGGGAATCACATTTTGAAGGAAGGAAAGGTGAATCTTGCTGTAGGCTCAATGGTCGTTGCCACCAATGAAGACATTGAACAATACAAGTCTAAGTTTCCTAATGCTTGCGATGTTGACTTTGACAATGAAGGGAATATGTGAGTTAATTATGTCTGTTTCAAAGTGTGTTAATGAAATATTTCTTCTTATTTTAAGAGTTCTTCACTACAAAAGTCAAGGTGCGACAAAGGACAAAGGCTGTACGGTGGATCTTCTAACAAATATGAAGAATAATATTGTTTTCACGACAGGATTGAGTCATTCTGCAGGACTTGAGAATTGTCTGACAGATATTAATCAGAATACGTTAGTTTATTAGAACAGAGTAGCCTAAGAAGTTCTTAAACAAAAATTAAATTTTTTTAAAATCTTTAAAAATTATATGACTATTTTAGCAAGAAAGAAAGGAACATTTTATTCCTGAATTTATCATTTCAGGTTGCCTTTTGCCTACAGCTTGAAAAACGAAGAGATTAGTCAGCTCCACAATGGTCCGATTTTCGGTAATGGCGGATGTTGTGAAGGCACTTGTGTCAAACGAACGGGCCTTGAAGTTTCATGGGAACTACAGGAAAAGCGTGAAACATCAATTCTTGTGCTAAATGTAAATCCAAGTAACAAATCTTTAGATTTATACTATTTCAAAATTTAATTTTAGTTGGCGTGGCGCTAATACGATATACTGGTCAAGAACTGCCAATAGTGGAAAGGAAAAGAGAGTACCCAACAGTTATGATAACATATCAATTTCCAAGATATAGGATTAGCTATCCAAAGAAGGGTAATGTGAGTGCCAAAAATTCCTGTGTCAAAAACATCCATCAGAATATTCTACCGCCTATCACATGGGAAATCGACAGTACAAGACTAGATCCAAGAATGAATCGTTTGTTGGTTTTTCATCTTCTCCCTCAACGTGCATCTCGAATAAGAGAGTGGTTGGAAGAAGAAAAGAGATACAAAATACAAGGATATCCGCCGCAAGGACCCGACTGCGATGACTTAAACATCAAATTCGTAAGTGATAAACAAATGAACGATTAATTATTAACTTATTTCAACAAATTTAGTCGAAGAGAAGCTACAAATTGATTAATGTTCTTTCTACTCCTGAAACAACAAAGCCGCCAACAGATGATAAATCGAAACCTCCAAGTACCACTAATGAGCCTCCAAGTACCAGCAATGATCCTTTAAGTACCAGCAATAATCCAACAAACAATAATCAGATCTCATCAACCATAGCAAACGGCGAAAATAATTCAACAACATCGACGCCTAAGGATACTTTAGTAAACATGAAAACAACCGATCAAGTTACAGAAACGAGTGAATTGGGAACTTCAACAGCTTTCACTTCAAAAGGCTCTTCGGCAACTACGGCTGCAAGTACGAAAACTACAACAATAATAACCACCCTCAAAAGCTCCTCTTCAATCGGTTTGCTAATTGTGGTTGCCGTTATTCTGATCATCATTGTCATTGGAGTTTCTGTCTACTTCTTTGTCATAAGGAAGAAGCCTGACAAGAAGGGGAAAGATGTTGAGGGAGGTGATGAGGCAAAAGGAGATGGTGAAGAAGAGGATGCAAAGAAGGAAGAAAATGGTAAAGAGAAGGAAGAGGATGAGGGTGATAAGTCTAAAGACGAAGAGGAAGACGGTGATAAGTCAAAAGAAGATGATGAGGAAGATGATAAGAAGGAAGTAAAGGGTTCGGAGTCAAAAACGGACGGCGAAACCAAAGAAGTCGAAAGTTTGTCGCCAGAAGAAAAGAGGATTGAGGATGAGATATACTAATAATACTCTAAATATACATATATAATTATTTGTTTGTGAATATTTGCCTTATATAATTGTATTGAGTGTCTATTTTTGTTATCTAGATCCATGTTAATTATTCTGATCTCTTAAATGTGTACGTTACTTATTTGTTAGTAATGTTCCTTAATGTCTAAATGTCTTATAATGTCCTATTTGTAATTGTAGATAAATATTTGCTTGACAGAATTATTGAAGTAATAAAAATTCTATTGTTGAAAGCCTTTTAGAAAAAAGGATAGAGGATGAGAACAAATTTAAAATACTGATTTCAAGTTCGTTTAGAAACTTGAATTTACTAAAAATTGAGAAATGGAAATTGTAAATAGGTAGTTAGCAAAATTAGGAGATAAAAATTTCCTCTATTTAAAATTAATTAACAATTTACCTTTCTCCATTTAGTTTTTGTCCACCATCTTTATTAATTGTTTGTTCACTTCTAACTTCAAAAATTCTTAATTTACTCGGATTATTCCCTTCCTCTTCTAATATTAATTTAGCCAAAATTGCTGGTTCAATAGACAAATCTCTATTAAAATTTAAAAAAGAAAATAAATTTTTTGTTGAATTATTTTCTAAAATTAATTTATTTTCTTCTTTTTTTAAATGTTTTTGTTGTTTATTTGTTTGTGGTGGAGAAATTGTTGTTGAATGTTGTTGTTGTTGTTGTTGTAATATATTTGGATTTGTAAACCATAATAAAAGTAAAGGGAGGGCCATTAATAGAAGGGAACAACACAATGCAAATAACAATATATGAACCAGAAACTTTAAAGATTAAAATTTCTATTAAATTCAGTTGAACTTGATTAAAAAATACGCCCTAATTTAAAATAGCTAGTATATTTTTGTAAACTTGGTTGGAGAAAATTTTTTTTCAAAAAGCCCCAAACCCCCTTGTTTGGAGTTTTTGGGATAAGCCTCGTTATAAAATACGAATCTTCCTTTTTCAAGGGTTCTCTTATCGTGAGGTCTTAAAGAATTTTACTTACAATTAAAAAATAAGGAAGGGAAAAGACGGGGAAATGTTGAATATCTTCAGAAGGGCTTAATGACCTACTAAATCTTTTTAATTTTCAAAAAAAATTTCTCTCAAAAATTTTTCTTTTATTTAATAGTACCTTTGTTCTATTACTTCTCTGTTTAAATTTGATATTTTCCTTCCATTCATTTTCATTATTAATTTCTTCTTTTCTGTTTGGAGTATTTGTTGTTGTTGGTGTAGTTATTGTTGGTGAAGGCCTTCTTTGCCAGCCATTTCTATTTGGAATTTCTTCGTTTTTTCTGACATAACTGAGAAGTGATAAATTTGGAGGAGGTAAGGCTGGGGGAGCTGGTGGAGGGATTTTTTGTTGTTGTTTTTGAAGTTTTGGCATATTCTGCTTAAAAATAAATATTTAATTGGATGTCAATTAAATAAGATGATTCACTTTAATTAATTATAAATTAATCATCTAAAAAATTGTAGTGAGAATTGGAGAGTTGGAAATCGTAAAAAAATTATTAGTTACCTATATTCTTCCCTAGTTAACCATTAAATTTTTTATTACTAACGGACAGTTGAATTTATTATGAATGTGGCCTGAAATTATTTAAAAATTCCCAAGTAATTTTGAGGGGATATATTTATTTAAATTTTAGAATAATTTTTATTTATTTTTAAGAATAAAGTTTTTTATTAAAAAATGAAAAAACAACATAAAAAAAAACATTTTTCTTGTAAAGGATTAAAACCTCTACATATGTAGTATCAATATACTAACCCCAATAAAAACAAAAGTTAATCTGTTAATTTTAAATATATTTAACTAGATTTGTCAAAATATATTAACGTCATCAATTCTTTTTTTGATAAATAAATGGGTTTTTTTGTTTTTATTTAGTAACGGGTTTTTTTTGTTTTTTTGTTAAAAAATTAAAATAAATTTTAAAGAAAAGTGAGAGTTTGGATGTGTTATTATGTTTAAATTATTTTAAAAATTATATGGCTATTTCTGATATTTTAATTGGAAATATATTTATATTAACATTTCTATCAATAAAAATAAAAGATTAGAATAGCTAAGAGATAACCTCGCGTCAAAATAAAAACTTTTTACCCTTTCAAGGTTAACTTTAAAAAATTTGTTTTTTCTTTAAAAATTCTTTATTTTATAATTTTTAAAAATAAAATTTTAATTACATTTTAATTAATTAAAATATTTAATTTAAAATACATAGGAAACAAATTCCTTCTAATTAAAAAACAAAATTCGTTCACCAAATCTCCTCACTTTCACCTACCGATCAATTTCATTAAATAACCAGATTTTTATTTAAAATTTGTTTCCAACCTTTTTAACTTTCACCAAATTCATAGCACTCGAAGGACGTGAAGTAGGTGCTTTCTCATAATAATTATCACCCTCATCATCTTCCTCCTCCTCATCATCTTCCTCCTCCTCATCGTCTTCCTCTTCATTTCCTCCTTTATAATTTCTTCCTTTTTCAATATAAATATTTCCTTTCTTTCTACCATTACTTTCATTTGAACTAGAACAACTTAATCTTTGCCTTTTACCTTCTTTTATTTCCTCAACACTACAATAAGAGTTAGTTTGTTTTAATGGTCTAATAGGGCATCTTGAAGAAGGAATTGAACTACGTGTTGAAATTGGGATTTTCCAAGGATGTGGTGATGCCCCTTAAAAAATAATTGTTTTTATTGTGTAAATGTTAATGAACGTTTGCTTAAAGTAAAAAATCTCGAGGTTTCCAATTATTATATAGTCAAACATCGCTTAAAGATACATATATCCTCGCAGCTAGAAATTATATCTTTAATTGAATGTATCCATTCTAGGGTTTGGTACCTCATCCGCCTACTGGCCAACCAAATTAGAAAAATTTTTGTATCTATTGGGTATATCTACAAGTGAGATTCGACTGAGGATAGGCACTAGAATTCTCTTTATTTACCTTAAATTCTTCACAAAAAAATTTTTGTATTCTTTTTATTTTTTAGAATTGTTATTATTTAAATAGCTCTTTTAATTTTTTCACAATTTTACTTTACAAGAATAAAATTTATTTAATAAATTAATAAAAACCTTGAATTGGCACAACAGAAGTTGGAGGGGGTGTATTAGCACCTCTATATGAAGGAAAGGAATGTGAAAGATAAAATAAAGAGGATGGAGTTGGTCTCTGTGCTAGTGATGATGGAGGGGATGGGGTTAAATGGAGCTCCCTCATTTAAAAAAATCTAAAATTAATTATTTTAATTTTTTGTTATAGGAAAGGATGAAGAGGAGGAAGGAAGAAAATGATGAAGAATAGAATTGTGGATGGAAGAGTTAGGAGAAGACAGGTAAAAGTTTACAGTAACTAAAAGAACTGTGCATCATTTAGCTGAGGTGCTTCTAAATGAAAGTTCTTGTTTTCTATAATACCAAAAAGGTTGCCACAATTAGGAAGGTGCTTCAAACTGAAGGTGTCAAGATTTATGTATTTCTATTAGGTTAACAAAAGTATTTGACAGAATATTTGTGAATTTAAAAGTCGGGCAAAAAATGAAAATAGTTACCGAATTTAATATTATCTGGTTAAAAAATAAAGAAACTGGATTCAAAAGCACAAGGGCAAAAATAAGTTTTAGGTATATTAGAAAATAAAATATATTTTGTATATCTGTACACTTTTTCTTGAAATTTATAAATTAATTGGAGTGGAAATTGTAATATTTAATCATAATTGGAGGAATAAATATAAATAAATATGTCTGTGTCGCGAAAATTATTCAATGTCAGGTCAAGCATAATCCTGACAGTTTCAAAACTATTTTTTCTTAAGAAAATCAAAAAGGTGATAAAAACAAATTGATAAAAATAATATTTTTAGAGAAAAAAATTTTTTAGAAAAATTATTAAATTTTTTTGTTACTACAAAATATTCAAAGTGTGAGCTTTGAATTTTTTAGAAAATGAGATTAGCTATTTGGCTTGGAATTCTGCTTGAGTCAGTAAGACAGAAGTATATGTACTATTTCATTTCTATGTCTTTTCTATTTGTGTTTATCAATCGAGAATCTTTTTAGCTTCCATCTTTAGAGTAAAAATAATTTTTCAGCTCTGATTATGAATTATTATTCTTATCAATTTTTTACTAACAAAATATAGATCTTTAACAACCCTCTTCCAACTAAAAACTTTTTGTGGATAATTTAATTCCACCAGAAAATCATTTTACAATCAATTATATTTGTCAACGAATTTTCGAATTTCCATAAATATTTTATTATCAAAGCAGCTCTGATTATGAATTATGAAAAGAAGAAAAATTATTTTTTATTCTATAGTAAGGTTGGCGGATAGTTGGAAATCTTCGGATATCCGGATCCGGTATCCGATCCGAAATTTTCGGATATCCGGATCCGGATCCGGTATCCGAACCGAAAATTTCGGATATCCGGATCCGGAACCGATATCCGAACCGAAATTTTCGGATATCCGGATCCGGAACCGAAATTTTTATTTTAAAAATTTTCGCCTGCGGCGCTGAAAAGTTGAGTCTTATGGAGGATATAAAGGGATTAGGAGCAATTATGATTGGATTTGGGGATTAACAGTGTTATCGAGGGAATTTATGCTTAGCAGAGTTATGTAGGTGTAATCAATGTGTGGAAAATTTTGTAGTTTATCTGATGATTTGTGAGAATTTAGTGGATTTGGGGGAAGTAGTAGATACATCTGCTATTTCCATATTTTTGAATTTGTTAAATTGATAGCTGGGATCGTGGGATTATGAGAATGCTGATAAATTTTGAGGTAAATCCTCCTCATACAAATCTCTTTTCTTCCTATTTAAGCGCCGCAGGCGGAAATTTTTTGTAATTTTGGAAGCAAATGAAGCCAAATTTCTTCCATTTTCAGCGCCGCAGGCGAAAATTTTGGTAATTTTAGAAAATTAGACTACCAGATGTTCCTTTTCCAGCGCCGCAGGCGAAAATTTTGGAAATTTTGGAAGCCTAGGCTACCAGATTTGTTCATTTTCCAGCGCCGCAGGCGAAAATTTTGAGAAATTTGGAAGGCCATTGGGCAAAATTTCTTCCTTTTTCCCTAATTCTAGGATCCGAACCGAAATTTTCGGATATCCGGATCCGGATCCGATATCCGAACCGAAAATTTCGGATATCCGGATCCGGATCCGATATCCGAACCGAAAATTTCGGATATCCGGATCCGGATCCGGTATCCGAACCGAAAATTTCCGGATATCCGGCCTTTTTTCGGATCCGGATATCCGGATCCGCCAACCTTATTCTATAGATGAAAGCTAAAAATATTTTTGAGTGATAAGCACAAATAAAAAAAATTACAAAAAAGAGGGCAATCATCCCGCAACAATTAAAATATTAAATAAATATTTTATTTATTTATTTTCTTTGTTTAGATACGCCCCACTTATTTTTACAAAAAAAAATAATTTTTTTGTGTATTGGCTGATTGCCCGTCCGGAAAAGGTGACAGAAAGTAAAGGGAGAGAAAAAAAGAGGTAATAAATTTGTTGCAGTAAAAGGATCATTTTCATCCAATTAATGAAAAAAATGCAAAAGAAAGGAAGATTTGCGTGAAAATTTTTACGGGTAATAAATAAATAAAAATTAAAAATGTGTTAGAAAATTAGAGAAAATATTTATTTAATTATTTTATTAAATAATAAATATATTTTTTGAATTGGAGAGAAGAATTTAAAGAGATTTTAATAACTCAAGGTAATTATGGAAGTAAAACACTTTTAAAATATACAGTTGAAAAGCTATATATTTGAAATAGTTGGAAATTAAATTATTCAGACGTGTGAAGATTCCAAAGAAATTTTTAGTTAATTTTATGGATTAAGCAAAGTTTCATTTTCTAAATAGTCGGCCTCTCTCGAATTTGCATGGAGGTACATAAATACGCCTCATCATAAAGTACTTTCTTCATGCCTAAAGGTGTATCTAACAATTCAGGTAAGACCGTTATTCATTGTCATTTCTTATTTAATTTAAAAAAGCAAAAAAACCTTTAACAAAATTTAACAAATTTTGGTTAAACCGAAAAAATGAAAAAAGCGAAAAAATATTCCCGTGAAGGTCATTAAAAGTTAAACTTAATATGTTCTTTAGTTGTAAAAAAATATTAATAAAAAAAGAAGGCTACTAATTAGGTAGTTTCCGAAAAGTAAAAAAAATTAATGAATCAGCCACGCCTTACAAACTTGTGATAATTTGCAAATAATTAAAAGTAAATACCAATATATATTTTATTTAAAACACAAAAAACTTAAAAAAGGCTTCTAAATTCTTAATCTTTTAAATAATTATTGGGAAGTTATCAAAGCAAGCAATCCAATAACAAATATGTACATCTGTTCTAAAATACAATATTTTTAGCGGAATATATTTAAATTCAGAATTCTCAATTATTTAATCAGATTATTTTGCAAGTTCTTAACCAATTAATAAAATAAATAAACTTTTTGTAAAAAGAAATATCAACTTGACAAATACCTTTTTAAACGTTTTAACAATTTCTTGTAAATATATGTTTATTCGTTCCACCTTTTTATCTTTTTATGTATATAAAAAAAATTTTCGTTTTTAAGCAGAAATAAAATTAATTTTAATTTGCTCATAAAAATTTTGATGAGTGTGAGTAGTTTAATCGAAATTTAAATTTACAATAAATATTTTTATAAATTGAAAAAATGTGTGAGGCTTACTAAAAAAACAATAAAAGTGACTAGATAAATCTTTCTAAACGAGGTAGAATGAAAAATAAGAATAATAAAAGAATTCCCGAGTTAATAATTTAATCATTTCTAATTTTTAAAAGAATTTCTACTAAATAACTTGTTCATCTTCCAATTCAGTCATTTCCCAAATTAAATTTATTTTTCTTTTCTGTTCTTCTTTTAATAATTTATTTTCTTCTTTTTTACTTAAATCCTCAACAAAAGGTAAATTATTATTGTTTTTCTGGACACCATTTTGTTCTGTCATTTTCTGAAAATTTTTTTAAAATTAAATATAATAAACAAAATTTATTTTGAGAGAAAAACTTTATTTTATAAATCAGAGAGATTGAGGGAAGGACAACCCTTCGACTTCTAACAGTGGTTGGAATTTTGAAAATTGCTCGTACTCGTACTTTCGTACACAGGTACGAGTACGAATTTTGGTACGAGCTTCCAACCACTGCTTCTAACCTCGTCCTTATTTTTCCAAAACTCGTAGAGGCTTCAAAGATTTTATCTGTTCTTTAAATATTTTCTTTAGGTTTTCACAAAAAATTAATTTTTGTATTTTTTAATTATTTACATTTAAACTTCCAAAATTGTCAGTATTTTTAGCAACATTAAAAGGCAAATAAATTGTTGTCGTTAATTGTTGTTTTTGTTGATAACTATAATTATTACTGCTACTTTCTTCTTCCTCACAAACATTGTTATTACTAGTACATTTACTTCCAAAAGACAAACAATGCTTTATTTGAATTCTAATTTGTGGATTACACGAATAATAAATTAATATACGAATGGCTGAAGTAAACCTTTAAATAAATAAATTTTGAATTGAAAATATTGAAGTTTTGATAGTTAAATAAATTATAAAAAATTATTTTTAATTTAAATTTTTCAAAATTTTAGGAACTTCGAGGAGACAGATATAAATTTATTAATGGAGTGTAAAATATAAATTAGTATAGTATATTGGACTTGAGTGATAGATTTTATCGATATTGATAAATGATATTTTTGCCCAATATATTGTATCATTCCGGTTTCTACTTTAATTTTAAATTAAAAAATACAAACATATAAACAAAAGAAACGGCATCAGAAAAGGCAGTATGGAAGGGAGAAGCAAGTGATGGATCTGAAGGATCCTTGAGTAATGCTGAATTGGATCTAAAAAATAATCAAATTTAAATTTTAAAATTAACTACAAACTTTTCTAAGACAGTAAGTGCCAAATGTAAAGAATTGCTAATTAAATAAGTACAGACAATACAGACCATCTAAAATTAATTTTTTGTGAGAATTATTTTAAAAATAATTTACAGTATAAACAGCAGATCTAACAGGCCCAGAAAGCGTTAATTTGTGAATTCTAAAAGAGGATTTTCTTTTAATGAAGCTATTTGAGGTTGTTAATTGATTAACGAGTATTGGCTGTGTTGTTGAAGTTTTGGTAGTTTTTTCTTTCTTTT